AAAAAAAAAAAAAAAAAAAAAAAAAAAAATACAAAAAGAATTTTTCCAATACATATGACTACATTTCTAAAAACCATTTTCTAAATTTTCACCTGCTATATGTATCAAACTGCTTATTCGCAAATGTTAAAATTAGTCATCTTAACCAAGTTTTCTGCATAAGTTTCAAGCTGACTACACAGCATCAAAATTTTGTGCCAAAAAATTATGAAAATTGAAAAGTAACTTTGAAGGTTACCACTAATATGCTTAAACGGTCAACACCACTTTTCAGATATAATCATAGCAATAGTTGTGCAGATGTATCAACGTAAAACGCTTTGTTGGAATAACCACTTGTTCAGTTGTAAATTATTTTTCTATTTTTGAAGCTTGTAGATAAATTTCTTTTTTATATGTAGGAACAGTTTAATTTGACTGATTATCATGTATTTGTTGTTTTTTTTATTTTTATCACAAAATATCTAAAAACATTAGTTTATTGTTCCTCTTTTACAGCATAGTATAACAACTAAAACATTATTTTATAGTAAGTTTCTTGATCGTAGCCGTTTTTTTTCAAAGCTGTTCTTTAGTGCTGTCATCAACACAGTGAAATCAGTTTGTCTATTTTCATAGTTTTATTAAGCGATATGAAAACTTCAAATGCTAGTTTTATTCTTACTGTAATTTAAGTCACTTTACAAACTCTACTTACGTTTGTTGATTGTTCAAACAGTACAAATAATGTATTCTAAATTCTTTTACAGTTACAAATTTTCAATTAAGAGCTTATAAGCAAACTGGAGCAGAACGTTTCGAGTTGTCAAACAGTAAAAACTTTTGTTTTTTTAGTTAGTTTAAACCAAAACTACGGTTAAAAAAGAAATTTAACTATTACAAGTAATTATATTAAATTCATAAGTGGACTTATAAAATGTTAAAAAACTATACGAAATGATAACGGATATCAGGCAACAACTAAAAATCAGTCAGCTGCTTACAGTATTCAGCTGTAAATCGGTGGTTGAACGTTTCATGTTTAATATAGTGCCTAAATTTTTGTGATACAAAACCTTCTAAAAAAACATCTGAATTTTATGCAATAAGCTTAAAAATTGTTTAAAACAGGCATAATTACAGTAAACATTTCAAGGTAACAACAGTAACAGAAGAAAAGCTTAACAGACCAGAAGTAAGTCACACTGTTACAATGAATTCGGTTTAATGTTCTAACAGAATTCTTAATAAGAGCAATTACAAACCAAATTAATAGAATTATTGCAATCTTCAAATTAGGTATAAAAAAAGATCAGTAACATAAAATAATATAATATAAAATAAAATCAAAACTGCAGTAAACAATACTTATATAAGAAATTATACGTCATCTATTGAACAGCTTAAAATAACTCTAAAGCAACCTGAATGTTCTTAACACTGATATGCGTAGGCATTTAGCACAACTTTAGGTCTTTAACGCTTCCTTGACAAGCAAACGACTGAATAGCACCATTGGTTAAGAAATCTATGCTTTTTGTGATAATCTTAGATTTGGGCATGAAAAATATTAGCACGTGATTAAGACTCTACAATGTAATTATAGAAATTGCTTATTGAGTTTCAAGCAGTTACGTCCTAAAAAAAAAAAAAAGAATTCTTGATCACTTTTTCAAATGTAAAATAAAGTTGCTAAACTTTGAAAAAAATTTTATCAATAATGGAAATAACATAGTTGATTTGCAAAAATCATCAGTTAGCTGTGCGATATGATAACATTTTTTATTTTTTTATCTGAGATCTCAAGATAGCGGTATTCTTTCTAATAGGTATTGAAACAACTTTATAACCAGCTGAAAAATCACTTTATAAAAATAAAAGTAATTACAAAAAAAACAGGGTAATATATGTTACTGACTGGGTTGTCATAGTGTTACCAAGAGCACTTAACGTTGAAATAAAAGGAAGCAAAATGAAAAAAAAGCTGAAATTTTATTTCCTATTTAGTTGCTGCATTTTGTTTTATAGGTTTTGATATTTTTTAATTGTTGGTTTTTTTTTTTTATAATTTTTTTTCATATGTAACTTGGAAGTGCATAACATATAAGCTAGCTCCTATACATGTATTCATACATATGTCAACTAGGATTATACCACAGGATTAGAGTTTTTACATAAAACATACAAAAGCAAGAAAAAATAAAACCAAAAAGTTCAATTTAACCTTTTAATTTATATTCTGCTGATTTCGCACTTTAAACAAACCTTTGTGTTTAGAAAATGTAAAAAACATTAATAGTATGTAGCCTGCTAAATAGTTTAACCAATTCTTCATATAAACACTCAGACTAAGAGTAGCTTAACAGTTGCAACAATAATGTTTATTGTATTTTTGAAAGAAAAAGACTGAAAAAACAAAAAGGAATATTTAAAGTTTTGAAAAAGCCGACATTTTTACAGGAAAAGCATTGATAAGAGTCTTCACCGGTATGGTTCAAACCAAAAGTGCGGCAACAATTCATTTGAGTTGTTGGAATAATATAGTTGTTGCACATTATTCATCAGAATCAGCAAAGGAGACAGAAGAAAAAAATGACAGTCATAGAAACTAAGTTTTGGCTGTTAAACAAAAAAAGTAAGTTTAAGAAAAAAATAAAAAATTGCAGACAAGTTAGTTATAAGAAACAATAGAAAAGATATGTATAACTTTATCAAGTTTTTTTTTAAGATTTCTAAAAACAGTCTAAGTAATTTTTGAATATGGTTAACAAAATTTTATAATAAATATTTGGGATAATTAAGATTTCTACGTGCGGTGTGCTTCTTCTTCTTCTTCTTCTTCTTTTTACTTCTTCTTTTCTGAAGTGCTTTATTTGGCATACAAAAATAATAAAACCTAAAAGCGTCTACTAACTGTTCTATATTTGATATCTTTTGTTGGTGATTGTTAGTGCTACAGTTTTTGTAATTCAGCTCAAAAACGTTTGATATTTGTAAAATGTAGGTAATTGACATTTTTTTTATAGATATTTCAGGTCTAAATTACTATACGGTAAAACATTTTTTTAATAGAAAAGTCCAGGTTGTGTAACGTAATTAGCGCGGAGGTATGACATATAGCGATTAGCGATGCTATTTTCGCTTGAATTTTTTGGAACAACAAGAATTTGACGTCAGAAATAATATTTTTATCAAAAATGTTCTACAAGCTACGACAAAAAAAAAAAAAAAAAAAAAAAAAAAAAAAAAA